TGGTTTGTCTTCAGACACAAGATGGGTTGTATGAATGATCTGGTATTCTCCTTTCTATTTCCCAGGATGCCCAAGCATCCGAAGACCGTGAAACTCTGGCACGAATGGCAGCAGAGTTAGAAACTGTGGAGTCTGCTGAGAAAGAAGCATACATTGAGAAATATCTCCGTAGTGTACTGGCAGTGGAGAATATCCTCACTCTGGATCGCCTGCGTCAGGTGAGTTTTCTTGAGATTAGAAACTGATCCGGCTGATATTTTCCCACCTTCAATTTCTGATTTAAGACTTGTGGACATATTTTTGTTTAGTGTGCAGGTTATATGCATAGGCAAAGAAGGTCAAAGGCTACAAAAGGATGCTTACATTTTGAGCCAAATTTAAAACTGAATTATTTTACAGATATTAGTTTGGCTCGCGTGGTGCATGCAGGTCAAAAATAAACTGTTCCAAAGGAGTCGTTGATCATTTTAATTACACTGAAATTTTGATATCCATTATGTTGATTCCTGACATGTAATCAACTCTTGTAGGTAATTGATTGTACGTTTCAGCACATGCTCCACTTCACCCCATCCTCTTCAACATTTTCAAATAATGTTTGCCTCTGTTACCTCTGTCCAATGAGATGAACAAGCGCTATGCTGTTGATCATTGGGTCTGGTCAACACACTCTGTGACTCGAGCAATGGTACCTGCTGCAAGATGTGGGTGGGCTGATCCAGAGGAGAACTAATAGCTAATCTTTCCAGCCAACTGCCAATAAAGCCATGGATCCTATCTGTTAAATTGTGAAATACAGGTAATCAACATTTCACAATCTCTGCAATTTATTTTTAGTTCAGTTATGATGCTGAGATAGGAGTGTAGGAATCAGGTGTGTGAATTTTTTTGATCAGCTCAAGATCTGGGATGTGAGCCAACAATCAAGTGATATCGACCAGACTAGACAAACCCCTCAATATATTAAGAACATAGCCTAGACGCTAACTGTAAGGCATTGCATTCCAGATGCAATTTGATTGGCCAAACTACTCTAAGCAAATCACATATTTTTGCACTACAGTTAAAATCCAGACCAACTAAAAATAAAAGAACTGACTTAACTGTAACTTTATTGAATTGCTTAACAAAATAATATATTAACTACTAATTAACTGTTCCAGTACGGTAACATCCCATAAACACACCCTTGGCAAAATCAAATTCAGTAAAGTGGATTGTCTCTCATGCAATTCTAGTAGCAGGAAGAGTAGCCGACCTTTCAGCTGTAGTAGAGAGAGGAATAAGTGCTTCCACATCCAGCTTCAAGACCTCAGCAATTGCAGAAAGCTAACACTAAAAATCTTGGTTCTGAGGGAGCTTGACCTCACCCATTCAGGCTGCTTCTATTGTTCCAACTGTTTTAAAAAAAGCCTAAGGCGCCTCAAGCTGCTTTGAGCAGACTGCTTGCCAGCTCTGTCTAAACCTTTCTTCATGTTAAAAAAAAGGACAAAATACACCCCTTAGCCATAATATAGTCACAATAGAAGCGTGATTTTTGAGGAATGGTATCTGCTACTTATCTTGTAGTTGTATTAACTTGTAGATGTTTTAATGGATATGAACTTAGCTTTGACATCAGTGCTAGCAGTCTGTTAATAAAAATGAAACCTGGAATGTATACTTTGTTGTTAAGCTCCACTGAACTTTTAAGCTCCTGCTTACTGTTATTGTCTGAGCAAGCTGCTGTTGCATTTTCTAATGGAGTCAATCAGCAATCTGTGTTTTTAAGCAACTATTTTCAACTGTTAGACCTTCACCAATTTTCCTTCAGATTCTGTTTCTCTCGAGATGTTAACTTTTTTTTATGATGGCACTGTGTGAAGCATCGACTTGTTCATTAGTGTCTTGTCAACTTTCTGTTGTTGTATATTAGCTTGTCCTTTTCCATGATAATGTAAAGATGGGATATTATTATCCTCGTATAGTGTAAGCAGTTGCAAATGAAGAAAGAACAGCCTAGAACTGAAGACAGAGACAACAAGATGCAGGGCTGGATGAACACAGCAGGCCAAGCAGCATCATAGGAGCAGAGAGGCTGACGTTTCGGGCCTAGACCCTTCATCAGAAAAGGGGGAGGGGAAGGGGGTTGTGAAATAAATAGGGAGAGAGTGGGAGGCGGATAGAAGATGGATAGAGGAGAGGATAGGTGGAGAGGAAACAAACAGGTCGAAGAGGCGGGGATGGGGCCAGTAAAGGTGAGTGTAAGTGGGGAGTTAGGAAGGGGATAGGTCAGTCCAGGGAGAACGGACAGGTCAAGGGGGCGGGATGAGGTTAGTCGGTAGGAGATGGAGGTGTGGCTTGAGGTGGGAGGAGGGGATAGGTGGAAGGAAGAACAGGTTAGGGAGGCAGGGACGAGCTGGACTGGTTTTGGGATGCGGTAGGGAGAGGGGAGATTTTGAAACTTGTGAAATCCACATTGATACCATTGGGCTGCAGGGTTCCTGCAACCTTCGGGTGGCATCGTTGTGGCACTGCAGGAGGCCCAGGATGGACATGTCGTCTGAGGAATGGGAGGGGGAGTTGAAATGGTTCGCGACTGGGAGGTGCAGTTGTTTAGTGCGAACCGAGCGTAGGTGTTGTGCAAAGCGGTCCCCAAGCCTCCGCTTGGTTTCCCCGATGTAGAGGAAGCCACAACGGGAACAGCGGATGCAGTATACCACATTAGCAGATGTGCAGGTGAACATCTGCTTGACGTGGAAAGTCTTCTTGGGGCCTGGGATGGGGGTGAGGGGGGAGGTGTAGGGTCAGGGGTAGCACTTCCTGCGGTTGCAGGGAAAAGTGCCGGGTGTGGTGGGGCTGGAGGGGAGTGTGGAGCAGACAAGGGTGGGGAGGGAAAAATGTCTTTGGTGGTGGGGTCGGATTGCAGATGGCGGAAGTATCCAAGGATGATGCGTTGGATCCGGAGGTTGGTGGGGTGGTACGTGAGGACGAGGGGGATTCTGTTTTGGTTGTTATTGCGGGGAGGGATTCTGAGGGATGAGTTGCGGGAAATGCGGGAGACACGGTCGAGGGCGTTCTCGACCACTGATGGGGGGATGTTGTGGTCCTTGAAAAACGAGGACGTCTGAGATGTACGGGAGTGGAATGCCTCATCCTGGGGGCAGATGCGGTGGAGGCGAAGGAATTGGGAATAGGAGATGGCATTTTTGCAGGAAGGTGGGTGGGAGGAGGTGTATTCTAGGTAGCTGTGGGAGTCGGTGGGCTTGAAATGGATATCGATTTCTAGGTGGTTGCCAGAGATGGAGACGGAGGGGTCCAGGAAGGAGAGAGAGGTATTAGAGATGGTCCAGGTGAACTTAAGGTTGAGGTGGAAGGTGTTGGTGAAGTGGATGAACTGTTCGAGCTCCTCGTGGGAGCATGAGGCGGTGCTGATACAGCCATCAATGTAACGGAGGAAGAGGTGGGTTTAGGGCCAGTGTAGGTACGGAAGAGGGATTGTTCCACGTAACCTACAAAGAGGCAGGCATAGCTTGGGCCCATGCGGGTACCCGTGGCCACCCCCTTTGTCTGTAGGAAGTGGGAGGAATTGAAAGAGAAGTTGTTGAGGGTGAGGACAAGTTCGGCTAAGCGGATGAGGGTGTCAGTGGAGGGGGACTGGTCGGGCCTGCGGGACAGGAAGAAGCGGAGGGCCTTTAGGCCATCTGTATGGGGAATGCAGGTGTATAGGGACTGGACGTCCATGGTAAAGATGAGGTGTCGGGGACCGGGGAATTGGACATTCTGGAGGAGATGGAGGGCGTGGGTGGTGTCACGGACGTAGGTAGGGAGTTCCTGGACCAAGGGGGAGAAAATGGAGTCGAGATA